TATTTTTATGCATGCTATGCATTTAGTTAAAATATTTTTATGCATATATGTCTAGTATAAGCATAAACTTTTGTGTAATATTTGTATTTATGTTGCTTGCTAAATTTATTAATTTAATATTTTTCTGCAAAATATTTATATGTATATTCTCCTTCAACTTCCAGTAATTATATGCTTGCCTTAAAATCATTATTATACTTTTATTTATACTTTTATACAATTTATCTCTGTTTCTATGTTTCTATAATTTCTTTATAAATACATGATATTGCCTATAGTATTATCTACGAAGTTTAGTACAATGGCAAAAAGTAGTAGTCATAGAACCAATCTTTTTCTTCTTATTGTTTTAGAAGAATAGTTTTAACAGTTCACAAATTGATCAATGTTTAATAATGTTCATTATCAGATTTAGAAGTTGTCTTACATTTCTAATTTTCTAAAAGTTTTTGTTGCAAATAGAAGCTAAATTGTTTCAGATGTACTTTGTGTCTAAAGGTAGTTTTTTTTTTCATTTTTTTCCTTTATTGAAAAAATCCAAAATGTATTTTCTACAGAAACAAAATGTTTAATACAGGTTTATGAGAATGTAGACATGGGCCTGTATAAGCAATGAATCTTATGAGGAATTGTACCCACAATATTTTAGAACAAAACTGCAATTCATAGTGATGATTTGCTTGTTAGAAAATGGGATGACCAAGAGATAGGAGGCATATTTCTCATAGACCTTTTGTGAATGATTCTGACAGTAAACAATAGTCATGACATAAAAGGAAATCATTACATAAGGCTAGAAAGCCTGCTGAAAAGAACATTGTGGCAGTATTCATTATGATTCAAGCATGACACATCTCTGATATTACTGACGAATATGAGAAAGATTACATATGTTTTTATGAAAATCTGTGTAGCAGTTAAGCATATGTTATCTCAACCATTAAGTGTCTGTTAACTTATATTTAACTGGGAATATACAAAATTGGAGCAATGAGATAATAGGTCATTTCCATTGAAAGATACTTTATCTCATAATAACTTTATTAATTTTATGTGGAAAATACAGTAAAACCCTAACTACAGGTGAATATATAAATTGATTTTCTTACAAATAACACTTCCCATAGAAAACATAAATATATACAATTTTATTAAATATTTTTGTATTTTTGCTTGACTTTATGTGTATTATTGCTATCATTTTATGTTTCTTGACTTCTTCAGTATTTCTGTATAATTTAAATTATTGACTAAGAAAAAACGTTGGCTTACTTCTCTACATTGTTTTTTTTTTCTTCAGAAAAAGATAAACTTTTAGAAGATATTAAAGAGGATTTAAAATAATCTAATCTGTATTCCATAAATGGTGATGTCAATAATAACTGAAACAGGAAAGAGAAAACAAGAAACTACTAAATAAAATAAAACAAAGATAATTAGGTTCATAAAATCATTGAACATTGCTGAGATTCTTCTGAGTTGTTCAGCCAGTATTTCCAAAACATGACTAAGAATTAAGAGAAAAACTACATTTACTGAAATTTTAAAAATACTGCTGCATATTTTTGCCATCTTAATTATGTGCATATACTTATACACATATACATACGTATATTAAATATATATATACATATATGTACATATGCATAGATCTATTTCTTCTCACAAACACAAATATATAGGTTGAATCTCTGAGTAACCATTGATACTTTTTATCCAACACTGAACACCCCTGAAATATTGCAGAATTACCTGATTCTATATGTTTGGTACTTTTATTTTTAAAGTACCACAGGATTCATAAAAAAGAATAATAAGTATTTTCCCAGAAATAGATCTCCTTATAAATCCACATAAGAGAGGTATTCTGAATATTTATAACATCACACTGTTTTTATTAACTAAATTTCTTAAGAGTTTGACTTTTTAATTTTCCACCCATTCAGAGATATTATTTTGTGTTATTTACAGTCAGGCTACATTCCTTTTTTAGGTAGCAAAGAGCAAGGAAATGACATATTAGGACATTAAAAAGGTAATTTTTGTTAAAAGTAAATATTGATTTAAAATGTGCTTTAAAAAAATTGGACTGAGAAAAAGAACCTAACTGCATAACTATCATTTCTAACATGGAAGTGTATGACCACTTTCTGTAAATTGTTGTATTTTCTGGGATTTCCTTGTTCTCAATTGTATAACACTAGCTTAGGAACTCTAAAGACTTAGATTATTAAAAATTTGTTTTGTTCAACAACTAACAATAGTACAGTTTTTCAATGGTTTTTGAAAAAGACAGGTTAATACAGTTTGTAAACCATGGCTGGGGAATCCCTTGGAAGGAAACGATCTAAAGAAGTAATAAAGCAGCCGGGCTCGGTGGCTCAGCCTGTAATCCCGCGCCTTTGGGAGGCTGAGATGAGTGGACTGCCTGAGACCGCGGGTTCGAGACCCGCCTGGGCTGATCAAAAAATCAGCCGGGCATGGTAGCGCGCGCCTGTAATTCTGGCTACTTGGAAGGCTGAGGCGGAAGGATCGCCGGAGCCCAGCAGGTCGAGGCTGCGGTGGCCAGGAGCGGCCACTGCACTCCAGTCTGGGCGACAGAGTAAGACTCCAACTCAAAAAAACAAAAACAAAAACAAAAAGTAATAAAGCTGTGTAGTAGACCATTGTTTATATATACCACATTTAAAAAATCCAGTCCTCTTTTGATGGACGGCATGATTTGTTCCAGGTTCTTCCTATTGTGAACAATGCTGCGATAAACATACGTGGGCGGGTATCTTTTTAATAGAAAGATTTGAGTTCTTCAGGGTATATTCCAAGTAGGAGGATTGTGGGGTCATATGGGAGGTCATATTTAGAACTCTTAGGAATCGCCACACTGCTTTCCACAGAGGTTGCCCTAGTTTACACTCCCACCAACAGTGTAGTAGTGTTCCCTTTTCACCACATCCTTTCCAGCATCTGTTATTTTTTTGAGTTATTGATAATTGCCATTCTGACTGGAGTTAGGTGGTATCTCAGTGTAGTTTTAATTTGCATCTCCTTGATGATTAGTGAGGATGAACAGATGTCTTAAAAGAACAAAACCATGAATTTCGCAGCAACCTGGATGGAACTAGAGTCTATGATACTGAGTGATCTCTCACAGAAACAAAGATCTGAGTATCACATGCTCTTACTTATCTAGTGGACCTTGAACATCTATCATAACACTATAAGAAAAGGATTGACAGTGGTGGAAAACTATGGGGGGGCAGGGAGGGGAAGGGAAGTAGGATTAATGGTAGTCAATATCTGTCTGGGGGCGGGGGGGGGGACACACCTCATCAAAAAGGGTACCTGCACAATGCATATTTGTATACCTAATCTTTAACCGTACCCCACAATTTTAAAATAAAAATGTTTAAAACAAAAAAAGAAGTAATAAGGAAATGTGAGAGAAATAAATGGATGTGCGCACAGAAACAGCTATAAGAACAAATCTTGACCAATACAGATTGGTTAAATTGATGGTCCCTACAAACCATTTTGTTGGAATAACTTTCCATAATTAGTACAGGAATATAATTGAATGGTTGAATGGTTGAAGAAATTGAGATACTATTGAAAGGGATAAGTAAAGTTTTATTTTCATGCATTTTATTGTTCCTGATTGTTAAATTGGGTGAAAGTGTTGCCCAATACAATTATATGGTTAAGAAGGAATTTCACTTTAATAAAATATGCCATATGCTATCAAAATACATTTTAAATAACTATCATAAAAATACTAACCCCAAACAGCAAAGTATATATACAATTTAGGGCCACTGTGAAAGTTTCAATATTAGTGAAGTATAGAAGGGATGTCTATTAGAATTTCTCAGCTCATAAAATTGGATTTCTTTTTTTTTTTTTGAGTTGGAGTCTCACTCTGTCGCCCAGACTGGAGTGCAGTGGCCGCTCCCGGCCACGGCAGCCTCAACCTGCTGAGCTCCGGCGACAGCCTTCCAAGTAACCGGAATTACAGGCTTGCGCTACCACGCCTGGCTGATTTTTTTATTTATTGTAGAGATGAGGTCTCGCTGCCCCGGCGGGTCTCGAACCCACAGGCTCAGGCAATCCACTCATCTCAGCTGCTCAAAGGCGCGGGATTACAGGCTGAGCCACCGAGCCCAGCTTATAAAATTGGATTTCTATGAGAAAACGTATAATACTAGTTGTAAAAGAAGCCACAAAGCCTATTTGATTTTGTGTCATGTATGTTGCCAATCTTATTGACACAGTACACAGTGTTTTATCAAATATGGATTGTCGACAAGACCCATAAAGTTCAATTTCATGAATAAAGAAAGGCAATTTAAAAACCCAATATTTAAAAAATAATAATTTTAGAACTTGACTATTAATGTACAGATAGTTATTTCACGTGATTTGACTGCTTGTTAATGAATTGTAATGAGAATGATTACTAATATCTGCAAGATATTGCTTTGCTTTTTGTCTTAATCTTCAAAGCAAGTATGTATCCTACAGAAATTATTTAAAAAAACCAATTATGCCCACCCTCAATTGGATACTCCTTCAAATTTATTTCAGTAATTTATATAAATATTTATCAACATTTTGCAATTTAAGGCCTAGGTTACACTGATTTTTGATGAAAAACGTGTTCAACTTTCTTTTATTTCCTCTTATAATAGCACCTATTATAAAGATTACAAATTTGTGAATCTCATATTATAATGAATGGGTTAATAGCTCCATTTTATTACATCACAAATCAACATGTTTAAAAATCCCTACTGCATATAGGAATGAAGGTTTTTTTGTATAAGGTTATATTATCTATACAGAAGAGATAATATATTGACAATTAAGAATGAGAAGTTAAATCGAGCTTTTGTTTTATAAAATTCTGTTGTTTTCTTAAAAAATAATAATGCTTCACAGAATGGAATTCATCCTTGATTAGAACCACAGTCTTCATTTACTGTTTCAATATGTTTTCTGTTCAGGAATGTTTGTCATCCAGGTGACAGCCAATGATGCTGATGATCCGTCATTTGGTAATAATGCTCGTCTGCTATACAGCTTACTACAAGGCCAACCATATTTTTCTATTGAACCAACAACAGGTATTTGTGAATGAAACAATGTACAATCTCATGTGATTTTACAGTTGGCAAATGTCAGCAAAAATTAGTTGCTTGGAAACATGTTTTACAGTAAACCTGATAGGTCAATAAATAAATGGATTGTGATTCCTCAGCATTTAATTATTGTAGTCTTTTTGCTCATTTTTCTAAGGTTAGGAAATTGGATTTTCCATACTCATATCACAAATTACTTGTGTGGGGGATATAAAACATGTATAAAGATTCTTGTAAATCAATTAGGAAGAAGACAAACACCCTTGTTTAAAAATATGGAGAGAGAATATTTACAAGCAATTGACAAAAGGTGATATATAAAAAACCTCTAAGCATATTACAAATGCTCAACTTTATTAGTCATCAGAAAATACAAATGAATACCACAATGAGATAGAATTGCTTACTCGAACAGAATGACTTAAGAAGACATAAATCTGATGCTGAGTGTACAAATTGATTTGAGACATTCACTTTAAAACTTCTGTATTTTACATATTTTTAAATTTAATATATTCGATTTATTTTCTCTCATTGCTTTACTAATTTGTTTTTATTAATTGCATATTGTATAGATAAATAGAATGCATATTTTCTATATTAAGCTTATCTAGTAAAACACATAACAATTACATGGCAATAATTTATTTCACAAATATTAACAGTCGTGTTAAAAACAAAGATTAAGTACGTATGAATCCTTCCTATAAGAGTTTATAGTCTCTAAAGATGAAAAAGCAGCATAAGAAGGGGGACCCCGAAAAACAGAATTATCTTTTGGAAGCGGTCCCCTTGTAGTACATTCAGAATTTTTTCCTCCAGATCAAATGATCTGCCAAAGTTTTTATCAGGAAATTTTAAGAATGTTGTATCACAATTTGCAAAAGAAACATCGAGAGTTATGGCAGACAGGTGACTGGTTCTTCCACCATGACAACACATCTCAACTTACCGTGCTGAGTGTTCAGCAGTTTTTAAACCCAAATGGGATGACCCCATACCCCATTCTCCCTATTTACTCAATATCACCACGAATGACTTTTTTTTTGTTTCTGTGGATGAAAAAAGTCCTCAAAAGGAAATGTTTTGCCCATGTGGAAGAAGTGAAACAAAAAACATTAGAAGTACTAAAAGACATCAAAATCGACAAGTTCAAAAACCTGTTTTAAGTTGTGAAAAAAGCAGTGCAATAGGTGTATTGCATCAAATAGAGAGTACTTTGAAGGTGACAAAGTTTAAACATGTTAGAATAAATACATATTTTTTTATTTTTTAAATATCTGTTTGTTTGTTTTTTTTTGGTTCGCCTCTCATATAATTAATCATTCAATAATGTGGAAAATGCCAAAGAAGTAAATTGTATAGTTTGTTTTTCTTTTTAAAATAACTTTTTTATTATCAGAGAAGCAATGCAAGCACATTTTAAAAAAAAAAAAACTAGAAACTACATGCAAGCAAAAAAATAAAGACATAACATTCCATCTTGAAATCACTGTGACTACCTTAGAACATATACTTCCAGATTTTTAAAATGCATCTATCTATATGCATACTTTTAAAAATCAAAACACTATTCACACTATTTTGTTACCTTTCTCTAGTCAACAATCTTCAGGCCAGTCTTGATGGCTCAGCCTGTAATCCCAGCACTTTGGGAAGCCTAAGCAAGTGGATTGCCTGAGCCCACGGGGTTGACCAGCCCGGGCAACTTGGTGAGACCTGTCTCTCTACAACAAACAAAAAATTAGCTGTGCATAGTAGCACGCTCCTGTAGTTCCAGATACTTGGAAGGTTGAGGTGGAAGGATTCCTGGTGCCCAGGTGGTCAACGCTGGGATGGCCGTGAGCGTGCCACTGCACTCCAGCCTGGGCAACAGAGTGAGACTCCAACTCAAAAGGAAAATAAATAAATTAAAAATCTCCAGTTTTCCATTTGTTAATTACTTACATGATTTAGCTTTCAAACAATTCAAATTTCCCCGATTGACCTAAAAATATCCTTTACAACTTGTTTGTCCAAATCAGTGTATCCAATCCAAGATTACAAGTTTAAAAGAAAATATTATTTCCAGCTTTGGTGATATGAAAAGTTTTGAAGAATTAACGCATTTTGTTCGATCTTTGAACATTTCTTATTTATTCATTCATTCAGTAAACATTAAATGTCTCAGCCTTTTGTCTCTTGAGAAAATTAGAATCTGAAAAAAAGTTGTATGAGTGGCTGTGTTCTTAATTCTCCCAAGCAAAATATATAGTTTTATTATTGTGGATGAACAGGAGAAAAGTCTTTTTATTACATGCAGCAGATGCCTTAAGACATCAAGCTCTACTTCCCTCACACAATTGTGATTGACAAAGACTAAATATGTAACAGATATTATACAACATAGTAGGTTTAAAAAGGTACGACATTTCACAATGTAAGATAATGTTGGTGGTAAAAACAAAACATGAACATGAACTTACAGGAGATATTAAACATGTGAATATTAATAAATACATACATTCAATTTGTAATTATGAAGTGAAACATAAAATGTCCAACAGAAGAAAGAAATTGAGGATGACTTGAGATTATGTGGTCAAGGCAGAGTACACTGAAGCCAGATTTTGAACTGAGCCTGTGGCCAAGGTTATGGGAAGAATACAAGGGAAATTCCTGAAATGACAAGATGTTGAAGCTCTTTAGGCTAACTGAACATGTGGAAAAGCATAAAGGAAGAGAGTAGAAAGGCAGCTCTCTAGAGAATAAACACATGTGGGGTCATCCTGGACTTTCGAGAACTTGTAGCGTATTATCTTTCTACCCCAGTTCTCTACCCTGCACACCATCTTCTGATATGTACTGGAAGGTTAGCTAAAACTATGAAAGCTTTGATGGAGGAGAGTTCGGAAGAGTAGGAGGATGAACTGGTCAAAACACTGAAATCATAGGTTGTAGTATGTAACAAAAGTTAGAAATGTATATCTTTTGTTCAGTCTAAATGTTGAAAAGTTGAAAATTAAGTAGGCACAGTTAATTGAAGTCTGGGTTCATGGGAAACAAAGGTCCTTATGTTCCTCTTACCCAATGCTTGACTCATGTGTATGGCGTTGCTTGTATATTATCAAGAGTTCTAGTACTATCCTCTTTTGCTAATATGAAACACAGTCTTGCCATGAGTCACATGTAGAAAAATGCCATGGTTTCTGTCCTGATTTATGTAATTTATTAAATTCATGAAATGCTTTAGTTCGTAATTAAAATCTCTTCATGTTATGATACAATTTATCTTTTAAAAATACGTAACACAACTGCTTTTTAATCACAGGACCTGGAAGTCGGTATATAAAAAATTTTATGAGCCGGGCTCGGTGGCTCAGCCTGTAATCCCGCGCCTTTGGGAGGCTGAGGTGAGTGGATTGCCTGAGCCTGCAGGTTCGAGATCCATCTGGGCAACTTGGTGAGACCTCATCTCTACAATAAATCAAAAAATCAGCTGGGCATGGTGGCGCATGCCTGTAATTCCGGCTACTCGGAAGGCTGAGGCGGAAGGATCGCCAGAGCCCAGCAGGCGAGGCTGCGGTGGCCGGGAGCGGCCACTGCACTCCAGTCTGGGCGACAGTGAGACTCCAACTCAAAAAAAACAAAAAACAAAAAAAATAAATAAATAAATAAAATTTTTTTGGAATGCTTTGTCCTAGATATATTTGTTGATTGGCTCTTCTCTCTTATGTGTGTTCCCAAAATCTTTAGAATTGTTTAATTCTCTCCTATGAACTATTCTTATTTTTTAGGGTCTTTTCAGTTGTGATAGTTATTTTATACTATATTTATTACAACATTAATTACCTACTTTCATAACTTTGAATATAAATATATATATCTTTAAGTATGTATATACATTATGAATAAAACTGTGGGTCAACAACTAATCTTTTTTCAGATCTCATGACTCTACGTAGAGTTTAACTTCATGAGGCCACATTTTTTTTTGCATAAATTTATTATTGCAGCTTTTATACATTTACCCATAATAACTAACTTCAGAATTTTGGGTGGGGGAGTTAATTGTAGCACAATAATATTATGTTAGAGAAGATAATAGAGAATGTGTTGAGATAAAAATAAAACATTACTCTTTTTCAACTATGGTTTTTCTTAACATAGTATTTTCTTAGGGGTTTATCAGTGTTGTTAGTATCATGATGACCACTCTAGACTCTAAGCAGAATTGGTGTTTAATTTATTATTATTATTATTATTATTATTTATCTCCAGGGCAGTGGCTGGCACATTGTAGTAGTTCAACATATGTTAAAAGAATATATGATGAAATGTTTAAAAAATTAACTAAGAAGATGTCATGCTTCATAATAAAATAATTAGAATTTTGTTACATTTTAAAGGAGTCATAAGAATATCTTCTAAAATGGATAGAGAACTGCAAGATGAATATTGGGTAATTATTCAAGCCAAAGACATGATTGGTCAGCCTGGAGCACTGTCTGGAACAACAAGTGTATTAATTAAACTTTCAGATGTTAATGACAATAAACCTATATTTAAAGAAAGTAAGTAGAAAACATCTCGTCTTCATTATAATGTAAATAACTGTGTGTTAAATATAGGCAGATGCTAGAATTTACATTCTAAAAGAACTGCACTAGCAATAGAATTATATAAAATAAACTTATTAGTTGTTATAAAGTGTAATTATTTTCATTAGTGTTAAAAATGAAATGCAAATGAAACAGTTATGCATTAGTTTCTATTGTTACTGTTGCAAGTTGTCACAACCATCATAGTTTAAAACAATTTTATTATCTTTAAGAAGTCTGGTATGGATCTCATAAGGCTATGATCAAGAGATTCAGGGCTGTGTTTCTGTTGACTCTAAAGGTGAATCCATTGCCTTGCTTATTTGATCAAATACAGTTCTCATGTTTATAGAATTAAAAAGTCTGTTTCCTTGTTGACTGTAAACTAAGGAACATCCTCAATCTCTAGGCCTTTCTTATGGTTCTTAAGTTATTCCACACCTCTCAAAAATCAGTAAGTGGCGTCAAATACTTCTCACACATACATCTCTCTAACCCACACTTTTACTTCTTTTAAGAACTCATGTAAGCCGGGTTCGGTGGCTCAGCCTGTAATCCCGCGCTTTGGGAGGCTGAGGTGAGTGGAATGCCTGACCCCGCGGGTTCGAGACCCGCCTGGGCAGCTGGCAAGACCGCATCTCTACATTAAATAAAAAATTAGCCAGGCGTGGTAGCGCAGCTGTAATTCCGGCTACTTGGAAGGCTGAGGCGGAAGGATCACCGGAGCCCAGCAGGTCGAGGCTACAGTGGCTGGGAGCGGCCACTGCACTCCAGTATGGGTGACAGAGTGAGACTCCAACTCAAAAAAACAAAACAAACAAACAAAACAAAACAAAACTCATGTAGTTAGTCTGGGACCAGTTGGGTAAAACAGGATCCAGGATCATCTTTGATTCCCCAGATCAGCTGATTGGCATACTGAATTCTACCTGTAGACTTAATATCCTTTTCTTCCTCTAAATCACAAATTCATGGTTCAGGGACATTAGGACAAGAATATCTTTGCTGGGTCATTATTCTGCATATGAAAAGTAATGACTGAAAATGACTATTTGAAAAAAATTGAAGTTACAATAGCCCACAATTGTACTGATCATTTAAGTAATAAATACAAGTACATAGGTGCTTCATAAATAACTTTTTAATTCCACTAGGAGGTGGAATTTCTTTTTTAGGAAATTTTCTTTCTCAGGAAATTCTGTCTTAGCTACAGAAATACATTTATAAGCACTTCCAGAAAGCATGAATAATTATCACAATAGGAAGAAAATTTAATTAGCATAGAACAAAGAAAGAAGTGGGTAAAAATTATATATAATCTACATATATTGTTAATACAGAGAAATCTATCTCTATAGAGAGAGACAGATTTTTATATAGATAGCAATATATAAATATATATATATTTCCTCAACCATAGCATGATTTCTTATATATTAATTGTTGATATACAGAAATAAAATTATTTTTATTATATTCTCTTTCCCATCCTTTCTGTGCCTCGTCCCAGTTCTCAGTCAATTTAAATCATTTTCAATTTTTATGGTCCAAGCAGAATGTTACTTTCACTGATTTCTTTGTGGTAGTATGCTCAATGTTTAAGCACGAGAAGTTAGCATCATAAAATTTTTTTTTTCAAATTCTGCATCATCTACCATTCATTAGGTGCATAGTCTTCAGACTGTTAACATGAATGTGTGCACACACACAAATGCACCCACCTAAATAAAGTAAACAGTACTCAGTTTACCCAATTTATTCAAGGTTCAAGGTTATCAAATGTCTTGATTCAAAAAATATTACAAATCTGTTTTTTAATTTTAAATTTTGTTAGATTAAAAATGTGCCATTATTATATAGATTAATGCATCATTTCCTCTTTGGATGGAATGGAAGTAAAGAGGCAGCAGTTTACACCTTCATCCCAGTGTGGTAAAAAATGTGATGTTAATGGCTCTCTCCACATTCGTGTGGCCCCTGAAGGCAACAAGATAATGTCTAATAAACTTTGAAATACAAAGAATGTTATACAATAATTGGCATATAATATGTAGAAAATAGTGGCTGAATTTATTGAATAAATCTAGTTCAAGTTTTATGCAGATAATTGTGAAACAGCAAGCAAAAGACTGGAAGTTATGATAATTCTTAAGAAAATCTGTTTAGAAAAAAATGCCCTGAAGATTTTAGTATCTTACTCAGTTTAATTTTTATTTTTTCCAACTTTAACTTTTCTAATTTTTGAATAAATTAGAATATTTATAATATATTTAATTCTTGTAGTTTCTCAGAATCATATGTAAAGATGGTTTTTGACTTTCAGTCAGATTTGAGTGTAGAACATGATGCTTGCCTTCTTAACTCTTGTTCACAGCTTCCCTTGTGAGAATCTCACTGCCTTCTCAATTTATATATTCAATACATCTACCTTCTGATGTGGGCAACATTCCCTGCACTCTCAGTCAAGGGCATCTCTCAAACATCTCTTTCTCTATGTTAGTAATGTCCTTTTCTGCTTGTTCATAGCTATTAGAATCCTAACATGTTTGTTTATTGTTGTTTCTTTCATCTTAAAACCAAACAAACATTTTCTTGATGTCATTTCCATATTTAACTATATATGTTGTTAACATTTACCCTGTCTTTATTACTCTCCTCAGACATGTTAGAATGCTCTGCATTTGGGTTTCATCCGTATTATTTGACCAAACTGATCTGGTCATTTTCATCAATACCTTAAGTGTAACTAAATCCAACGTCAGATCTCAGTTCTAATATCGTTTGATTTCCTGGCAGAATTTGACATGGTTAATCCCCTCCTTCTTGAAAAACACAGCCTTTTCTTCTAAATTATTAGTTGCTTTTTTTTTTTTTTAAGTCTTTGCCTTTTCTTTTTCAACTCCATATATTTTAAATGTTGGCACATTTCTGAGGTCAAGGCTTGGACATTTCTCTCCCTTCCACATTCCTTCCTTGATGTTTTATCCAGTCATATTGCTTTACATACCATAACTTCTGTGCTGACAGCTTCCAAATATATACATATATAATATATATATGCAGTCTTAACTTCTCCAATAAACTCCACAGCATAAATCTGTCTACTCAGCATCTTCATTTATATTTATTATACACATTTAAAAATTAATATATGCTTAACTGAGCTACTGACCTCATCTTTCCCCTCTCCTAAGCCACTTTTTCCTAGAGTTTCCCATCTCACAATTTTGGGTTTCATATTACTCAAGCTGAAACTTGGCTTTTTCAATACAAACACTATTGTTTGTGATGAATTAACGATCCAACTTAGATTATACTGGCCAAGTTCATGTACATTCTAATTTCCCACCCATCCTGGATTGATTGGTTCTGCAAAATTCCTGAAAGTTCCTGATTTTCAAAATTCTGTGACACTATTATTGTATTTTAACTACAATAATAGCACTACTAAAATGTCACTTTCATTCTAAAAATTACCAGTAAAATATTCACAATTTTAAATTAACATTTCTTCCATTTAAAAAGTAAAATGTAAAAATGCAATCTGTGAAGTGACTTGCTCTATGCATGTAAGCTAATCAAGAATCCTGCTGAAAAAGAAATGTATTTTATGTACTTCATTTTTAAATTTCTTATAAGTTTCATTTATAAAATATTAACATGTATAATTATGCCATTAAACACATGTTATGCCATACATTGACATGTATGAATAGCTATTGGCACTTTAGGATACAGTGAAAATAATAATTTAAGAATAAAATAGCACTTTATCAGTTTATGCAATTTACTTCTGAAAAAAAAAAGCTCAGTAATTTGTAGTAATATCTAGGTACTTCAAATATATCTGCTTCTCTTTTCTTACAGCCAAATTAATAGTCATCCTTGACTCCGGCATGTTTTTTCTATTACATTCACATACTAACTTTTTGAGGTCTATTCATTTTTGCATTTTCACTATGACTAATGTAATTCGGTCTTAGAACCTAAAAAAACCAAACTATTATACTTGGAACTCAACTGTTAGCATTGTCTTTCCCGTCTTTAACTTACATGTACATTTATTGGTAACTTAGATATCAGATGTTTCTAGTAGAATTGAAAGTTTTTTTTCCAAATTTAATTTAGAATGTTTGAAAGATACAATGATAATAGACCATTGATATTGAAAAGGTATATATATATAAATCATACTGTTGACAGATTTATCTAAGAATATCTGAGAAAATGATAGATGCAAATAAAGGATATTAGCAAAATGTTGAGATTCCAACATAACAAGTGAGATGATACATATGGAGAAAGAGAGAGTGAAAGAGATTGACATTTAGGAGAAATAACTGGGAAAGGTGGGCATGGGTTTTACTACAGATCATACATAAAGGATGCTATCGCTAGATGTTTCTTATAACTACCCAAAATATTTGGAATTTTGTTTTCAAAGGTTTACATCGTCTGTCTGTCTCTGAATCTGCACCTACTGGGACTTCTATAGGAACAATCATGGCATATGACAATGATATAGGAGAGAATGCAGAAATGGATTACAGTATTGAAGAGGATGATTCACAAACATTTGACATCATTACTAATAATGAGACCCAAGAAGGAATAGTTATATTAAAAAAGGTAGACATATTAAAATCATTTACTTTACAGAGTAGTGCAAAATCAAATCAGAAATACGTTTTGTGTAGCTAGTTTTTGCCTCATTTAGTAATTGAAATAACCTGTGATGTATGGATTAGGGAGGAAAGTACTTTAAAGATGAGAGAGCTAGTTGTTACAGAGCTTCTTAAACTATACATAGAACAGGTTTTTTTTTAATTCAACAAAGGACAGACATTTTTAAAAGATCTTAAATATCAGGGAATCGATTCAAAATTCCATGAGACATTTATGTCTAGAGAAGTAAGTTTTAATTCTACATAAAATCTATTATTTCAAAATATTGAGTAACACATGTAAATGACAAAATATAAACAGATCTTTTATGCCTGACTATTAATTATATCAGAGGGATTCATGTACTTATAAAATAAAAGCATATTGGAAGGCCACTGAGACATGCTTTGCCAAATAAAATTGAGGACTTTTTTCTAAGTAATATTTTGAATTACTGAAGTCATTTTCTTCTGTGTATGTTTGGTTTTTTTTTGTAGAAAGTGGATTTTGAGAACCAAAACCAATATGGCATTAGAGCAAAAGTTAAAAACCGTCATGTTGATGATCAGCTTATGAAGTACCATACCGAAGCTTCCACCACTTTCATTAAGATCCAGGTGGAAGATGACGATGAGCCTCCTGTTTTCCTCCTTCCATATTATGTATTTGAAGTTTTTGAAGAACATCCACACGGATCATTTGTAGGCATGGTGTCTGCCACAGACCCAGATCATAAGAAATCTCCCATCAGGTATGTGTTCAAGGTTAGCTTTGGGTCAATAAACAAGTAAACACAGATTATGCTACAAATAAAATTTCATAAAATATTAAACAAGAATATATCTGTATCTATATTTCCTTATATGATACTTAATGAACTTGTAATCATTTCAACAATCAAATTTAAACCAGGAACCACAATATTGACTAACGTCTAGGAAAATAAATAGACGATTGAAAGCACGTGGGATAAATAGTCAATCACCAACTAAAATTCAATACAACTGATTATTTCTTAATTGGGATAAGGAGGTAACAGGAAAGAAATATATATTTTAAGGGTCAAGTCAAAGGTAAATCAGAGCTCAAAATGTGGTTTATTTAAATACTGTTCAATTAAGATGATATTTTTGCCATCTATTAAAATAGTCTTATTTTCACTTATTATATTGTGATTTATTTGCATCCTATTTTTTTTTTGAATTTGAGGTGTAGTATTGTTGGGCAAGAAAAAAAATAACTTATTACATTTTTTCCGTCATCTTTCCTTGCTCACCCATTTTCATTTTCACCCATTTTTTCTTGCTCACCCATAGTTCAGAAAATTACTTAAAACTGCATGTATTGATTCAGATTCTGGATCCTAATTTGCTCTTTGGAGGCATTACAGTAGTACAGTGAAAAAGCTCAATTAAATGTTGGATACCAAAGGATGTTTCCACTTTTTCCTATTCATAAAAGTTGCCCTCCTAAATGTAGCTACAGTTTTTACTTAGTCATAGTGATTTTAGTAATTTTATGTATGTATTTGCACACAAACCCAGTAACTCAATCCAACTCCCAAACTTAAGTGATCCTCCTGCATCAGTCTCCCAATTAGTAGCTGGGACTGTAGGTGTGTGCCACCACACCTGGTTAATCCTTTTAATATTATTTTTTGTAGAGACGAGTCTCACTATGCTGCCCAGTCTGGTCTTGAACTCCTGGACTCAAGCATTCCCCCTGTCTTTGCCTTCTACAGTGCTGTGATTACAGGCATGAGTCACTGTGACTGGCTTTTTTGTTTTTAAAAATTTATCTATGAACTTGTGAATTGTTTTTCAGAAATTGCCAAATAACATATAATTTTTAAAAATGCTTTGATTAAGATGTTCAATATGTTATCATTTATAATAGTAAATGTTGGAAACTTTCTACTCTTTTTTTTTTTTTGAGTTGGAGTCTCACTCTGTCGCCCAGACTGGAGTGCAGTGGCCGCTCTCGGCCACCGCAGCCTCAACCTGCTGGGCTCCAGCGATCCTTCCCCTTCAGCCTTCCAAGTAGCCGGAATTACAGGCATGCGCTACCATGCCCAGCTGATTTTTTGATTTATTGTAGAGATGAGGTCTTGCTGCCCAGGCAGGTCTCGAACCCGCGGTCTCAGGCAATCCACTCACCTCAGCCTCCCAAAGGTGCGGGATTACAGGCTGAGCCACTGAGCCCGGCTGAAACTTTCTACTCTTAAGGATAGAATTAAGAGAATAAATTATGATTTATAATGATACTTATGAAGCATAGATAGATACATGGCATACATTTGAAGCATAATAAGAATTGGTAATTGAATGTCTATGACGTGAAAATACTACACATATATTTCTTAAAGGATAAGAATGCACACAAATATTAAAAGGTTATGTGTTTTAACAACATTATCACTGGTGGCTAAATACATTTTCAATGTAAAGCATTTCAGCTAATAATTTCCACTTTTATACAAAAAATAATTACTTTTTCAAATAACTTTAACCTATAAAGTAAATAAGTTTAAATGTTTTCACAGATATTCTTTTATTTAGAAATATCTTTTAAATAAAATTGCTCTTTCTGTGTGTCTGTGTGTGTGTGTGTGTGTGTGTGTGTGTTTGTGTGTGTATCAGGTTCACTTAAGACACAGACGTTTGGTTGTTTTCCACATGATATAGTTAATTTCATAAATGTTCAAAATACATATCATGAAAACAAAATTATACGTGAATGAAAATAGTCACTTAGGCATATTTTAAGAAATTTCTTTTTGTTTTTTTCTTGTCGCTCTCTTTTTTTCCCCCTTGGAAGCAAAAGATCCACAAAGTGTTTGAACATAAAATGCAAAATGATTTCAATTTGAATTTTAATTTGATAATATTTCTTCCTTAATACTCACTCCAAGATAAAAGAAATGAAAACCAAAGGAAATATTATGACGTTGGATGTTAGCCTTAGGGATGTTCCATTGTTTTTGGAGAAACAGAGCAACACATAGTAAACAAAGTAAATTATACCCCATTCATTTAACATATATTAGTTTCTCCTACTGAATAAGAATCATCTGCTGTTTCTGTGAAACATGGCATTTCCCAGGCTCGGCTTCAGCAAGTCTTGGATGACATAAATAAACTAGTTGAATAAAATATTATTGTTATTGTTAAGGTCAGAGAAGCTTGAGAAGTAATATCTATCTTGGTATGACATAATAATAAACCATATATCAAATGTTTTTGAAAATGTGGTACTGAATTAAGGAAGAATGCAAGACTTAGATTTAAAAGTGAGATGATAGAATGTTTTGAAAGAGGCTAGTATGGTATATATTAGAGGAACAGAGAACATATGTAATAATATTATTATCATAAAATTGTAAGGAACTTCATTAAAATTTTCCTTAAGACTTTCATGCTATCTCCAAGACTACGTACTACTGCTAAGGAATAGCAGCTTATGTTCCCCCAAATTCAGAAGGTGGGTTGTACGGGAGAAATTCAGCCACAAGGGTAGAATCCTAATGATTGAGATTAATGACCTTACATTGATTACATTACATTAATTACATTACATTAATGACCCTAGAGAGCTGTCTCACCCTCTCTCTGCTCATGAGGATACGATGAGAAGTTTGCAAGGAGGGCCTTGTCAGAAACTACAGTCTACAGAGTGAGAAGTACATTTCAGTTGTTTATAAACAACCCGATCTCTGGTATTTTGGTAGAGAAGCCTGAGTTAAGACAATTACCATGTTATTTGGATTCCTGATACAGGGACTGTTGTATTCTTTTGCCGTTACTGGGTATAATTTACTCTTTGAACATTATTGAAATTTCCCTTTAATTAAGCCTCAAGTCAAATTTTGAAATATTTTGAGGAAGTATGAGAAAGACAGTATGTTGTTTTCTGTTAGAAAAAAAGGCGTATAAACCCAAAGCAACAAGAAAATACAAAATAAAAAGATTAAATCACACGTAATAAAATGGAAAGCAATAGAGAAATACAATTAAGCCAGAAGCTGGTTCTTTTAGAACATCAATAAAATGTTTCAGTCTGAAGCCAAACTGACTTGACGGGGAAAGGAAAAGAGAGAACAAGAGATAAAGACACAAACTACTATTATCAGAAATGAAAGAGCATGCATAAATATTGATCCCATAAACATTACAAAGATTATAGGACTTTGAACAACTCTATGCCCATAAATTCGGACAAACTTCTTGACAGAGACCACTAAAATTTATAGTAAAAGATAAATAATTTTAATAATCATATACGTTTATATACATGCACGTCTATACATATACACCACCATATATATATATTTATATATATATGTATGTATGTATGTATATATATACACACAAATATAAAATCAAATATTCAGTTAAAAACCTTCAAAAAAGAAGCCGGGTTCCGTGGCTCAGCCTGTAATCCCGCGCCTTTGGGAGGGTGAGGTGAGTGG